AAAGTATTATTGTGTATGAAATATAATATTTTCTAAAAACCCATTTGATTTTGTCGCAAATCCACTTTGACTTATGAGCCAGCTTTTCAAAATAAGGAGATAATATTGTAGTAGAACATTCACCTACCCGCGATGACGTTCCCCTGAATGAGGAGAATTCACTAGGCATTTCTTACATTTAACCAATGTCCTCAACTAATTAATTAAGGATAAGAAGCTCTACCTGCTATACGCACCTAATATACACTATGGGCACCAAGAAAAGCAGTGACATTTTTGTGTGGAGTACTATTTAAGTTTCATTAACGGTTTTTTTTAACACGTAATAGTGGACAATTATCCAATTATTAAACTTTTTTTCATTTTACGAAACGTTTTAATGTTAGTTTTTTTACCAAGAAGAGATGATAAGATAGAATATAATATAAGAAGACAAATTTATATAGCCCCATTATTTTGAAAACTTTGTGAGTTTGGTGTATTGTCAATTTGGTACAAAACATAGAGACCAGAAGTAAATGAAAATCAAAGAACTATCAAATTACCAAAGAACCACTTGACTCGACTGACCTAGTTAAAGACGAGCAGTGGCGCACAAAGCTGAAGGGCTCACTGCCTGACCTGGCTAGTAGGGTGCTCAACGTGTACAGCTCTATTATGATCAAGACACTGACTTTCTGTATTGGCTCGGATCTTTTGATTTGGAATCTATCTTTATCATTGATGCCTGACAAAATTATACTGGAAACAAGATATATTATTGAAGCCTTTTTCATGTATTTAAGGTAATAATAATATAATATATTAAAAAAACTTGACATAAGAACGTTCGAATTTATGCCATGTAATTTTTTAATTGAAGAGACCAGGGAAAGAATGATCAAAGTCACTTAAAACACGTTTTGAGTTAACACTGCTACCCAGTGTGGTAACCGTTGAAAACCTAATAAGGTTCAATGTCCTGAAAAATCATCTTTTGTTTTTAGTCATAAAAATAAATGGCAGAAAAGTTAAAAATGTTTTTTAGTTACATGCGCTACATACATTTACGTCAGCATTGACTTTATTTCAGGTAGCATGTGTGGTTGTTTTTTTCACCAATATTTAAAAGTCCTCCATATTAAAAATTATTTTTTCTGTGACTTCTCCTCAAGTGACTTTGATCATTCTTTCCCTGTATTCTTCAATTGTAAACATAAATATCAAAAACTCAAGTTGAAATAGAAAATGCTCTATTATCGGCTTAAAAATCTTCAACTCAGAAGTTTCAACTCTTTCAACACTTCCAAGTGCATTGAAAATTAGAAATATGAAAGACAATTTAAACAGAAATTATTATTTACGGCTTTTGGGTGATATGTCATTAAGTAATAAGCTATTGTGTTATGTATTTAAGTTTTATGGACGGTTTAATAGCATACCTACAGCGATTGACAGACAGACAGTTGACAAAGGCCATTTTGATTTTATACTTACTTTTCATACATTCCATGTCACTCTCGGGGTAAATATGAATCTCAGGATATCTCTTTTACAATCATAGATACACACAAAAATCGTAATCCTGTCTCTGATGCCACGCAGTCAGCTAATACGTAATTTGCTTTATTGCTTTCGACGTAATCGATGATGTGTAATCATTACACATAAGAATCTTAAAACAATTTAATCGCAGGATATTTTCTAGAATTTTCTGAAATACTCACAAGTTTACTACATCCTCTATTAGTAATAGAATTTATTGTACATACGGCAGTAGTAATAATCTCTTACGATACTGCTTGTCTATAGGTGCCTTTTGCGGCCGGATAATAGGTTCGTTCCGGGGGCTGACCATAAAAAATAAAGAGGTCAGTATTCATTACGGCTTCCGGCGAGATCGGATGGGGGCTAAGAGAAGACGGGAATGAATACTCGTGATATTCGATCAGCAGAATTGAATTGAAGTGCCAGAAAACCACACCAATTACCTTTTATTTTATTATAATTTCAAACGATGAAATTCGTTGTACTATGAGTACAATGAATTTCCTTGTTTGACCCTACCTCTATAACTAATAAATTGACTCTGGGGCAGTACACACAAGGATCAATTTAGAAAAGAATCCGGGACTGCAGGAATCATCGAACCACTTAGGTCATCATAGGGTTCGTCAATGTTAAATTAAATTCCTTAGTCTGATCGTTAGGATTTAAAATACATGACAACAGTTGCTTCCCTCTATTAATCTGGTCATAATAAAAAATTAAAGATCTTTGTGAAAGATTATTTTTAATGCTCATAGTCGAGTGTTTGATTTCAATCTCGACTAAGACATATTGTATCGATATTGTCGAAGATGGAATATGGTACACTAGTACATAGATATTGCTGCCTGCCACAAGGTGCCTTTATACTGTAGTCTTGAAAAGGCAAATGTTGTATTTATCTGGCAACAAAACCGCCAACAGAGAATTCCATTCTTTAGTTGTCCGCATTAAGACGAATGAAGCAAAAAACACTTTGGACGCTACACACAGGAGCGGAGAGTAGCAATTTGGACATTCTCCATAATATATATTAATAAAAGAGGCAGATCTTGCCCAAGTCATTTCAAGTTCTCGCATTTGAAAATTGGCGTACAGTCGCCATCGCTACCACTGGATTGTATTCTACCGAACATCCACAATCAGTTTGCTTACGCCTCTATAACGTATTGTAAGTCGAGGTTGTAGGAATTCTTTTTGTCTTCTGTTTTCGGTATCGAATAGACATTTGTTTCTGAAAGCCACCAGTACACACAGGCTCAAAATACCATGGGCATCGGCAATTATCTTGTGGGCATAGCCCAATTGATTTCTTGTCGTAGTCGTGTTTCGGCCACCAGTGCCGAACACTGTTTGGACAGTAGCTGGACAGTCACAGAATACTTACCTCGCACATTCCTGAATAGGCTGCCTTAATGGGTGGGTAACCAGCCTTTCCTCTGCTTTTCATTACTAGTACAATTCAGTCCTTATTTCTTTGAGTAAGACGTCATTGTCTCCACAAACTGGCTGATAGATAGCTATGTATAGCTATGTATAGCTATACAATCACCTAACCTACGATATTGGAAAAAGATTAAACCTAAAACCCTGTTAGATTTCCTGCTACACACACAACTATATAAAAAAGCAAATAAAAAGGAATAAATCGAATATAATCGGTGTATTTAACAGTAACCATGTTCATGTTGAATATGATTCTCGCCTAGGATAAAAGGAACCTCGCGTATCTTTTACATTATTGAAATATAAACATAAGTAATTATTCGGAAAACTGTTTAATATGCCAATAAAAGAGTGACTAGTGTAACAAACATCGTTAGCGCTGTATTAACTTCTAGCCAGACGATTGTTACACGTTTTTTTTATTGTCTCCATTTATTACGTTTGTAATGTATTGCGTTTGCACAGCTGAGTTTACGTGATGTACAGGACGGTAAATTTTATAAAAAAAGATCAATAACACTAATATCTTTTAGGATTTCGTGAGATTTCTAAATGTTATTAATGTTGGGCGCTTTTTTCGTTTGCACATCTGTGTCGAGTGTTGCTCACGTTCTCAGTTAGGCGTGACCTATCGTCGGTGAAATGAAATGAAGCATTACTGCAGGGGCCTGGGTGTAATCAGCTGTCGGTTACTGGGCCGCATATCCGGGGGAAGAAGGAGGGGAAAGCGACATAAAGATATTCTATCTTGACGTGTGCTACGTGACCAATCACTGACGGGTCACAATCCAAGCACCAATATTTATTGCCTTAACTTGTGTGAACTTTTACTAACGGGAGACGTGCCTTTTTTGTAATGGTATGCTCCATAAAGATACCTGGTTTGCACCCCGTCCATTAGAATCCCCTGACTTATACTCATATAATCTTACCATTTGCAGTTAGCAAAAGTTAATAAATTGCCTATAACAAACTCGTCAACTCTAATTTCTATATAAACGAGCTTATCTGTTAATACTTACTTATTATATACCTTAGGGTATTTATTTATGTTTACAGCTTTTTATTTATCTACGTCGTTAAATTATAGTTGCAGGGGTACTATTAGAGTCTATAATAGGTCTCTTATTCAATGTGTCGTAGCAAATTCACCTCTTAGTCCTTCATCGTATCTAAATCCACGTAGCCAGTCGGTACACACTCGTAGACGAGTCCAACGTTCCCATTGTAAAGCAAATACAAAAGCAATGACCAATTTGAGCAATGTTTGCCGTTTTTGTCTCATTTAGAATAGATATTTATACTTGATTTCATGTTTATGTATTGTTAATAATTTGAATCCAAACTAACACTTACTTTTGGAGGAATTTGAAGATTAAAACATGTACATCAAATAACGTATTTTATTTATAAATGATAATAGAAAAAAAATATATTAACAATAAGGAATAGTACATTATGATACAAGTGTGCTAAGTTGGTCATTACACACGAGGCGTTATTACTAACTATATATATATATATAGATAAGAAAGCCGAGAGTGTAATGATCAAAGCACACGTGTTTCATACGACGTTTTTCAACACATTTGCGAGGAAAATGAAACAAACTTGAGTAAAATGGAAATGAAAAATAGCTTTATTTGGCATTAATTATACAGATACACTGAATACTATATTAAGCTCACGTTAATGTAAATAATATTATTCTATTCTATACTATATCTATCAATAGCAATTAATTAAGAGTCTCCAAAGCCTATCAAAGTCATTGTATCTTGATTTTATCAAAAATGTAGTTATTTAAATTTAATTATTAAAACAATTGTTAAATGTACAATTTTCAAAATGGTAACGTGCAGTTTTGTTAGGCATTTGAACCGTCTGTGTGATATTATTTGTTACTATTTCATTATTGTCTTCTTGCGTAAAAGTCGGTGATACGGGTTCATTGTGTACAAATATGGATGAAAGTGGTGATGGTTCATTTAAAGACTCCGAAATAGACAACCTAGGTAACAAATAACTTGTATCACGGGAGGTGGATGGCTGCGGTTCAGGACACATCTTCTTAACCTGGGGCTCCAGATTTATAGCGTGGGTTATTTGAGTACATATGTTGGACTTATTTCGAACTGAATCTTCAACATAAGACTCAGCAACTGTGCTAGATCGCCAGCCACCATGACGCTTTAAAGTAAGCAAATCAGCTCCCGAGTCAGCTAGCAATGTAGCTGATGTTCTTCGGAAACTATGCCCAGTGTATAAATCCGGGTCGGGTAGATTTAAAAACTTGGCAATTTCTTTAGGCATTGCACCAAATTTATTAATGCCTGTTGGCTGAGCCACGCATCTACCCTTCTGGTAGTTTTGAAAAAACCGATCGGATTTTGCCTTATCTGTCCTAAGCGCTTCGTACTTTTTTACTATGTCGTAAAATGGACCGTGAATGGCAAACGATCTCGGTACCTTATTTTTAGTGTTGTTAATTTTAATCAAAAGCATTTGGCCATGAGTTTCTACGTCTTTTGCCGTTACTTCGCTTAGTTCTTGGCGTCTACACGCGCCAGTGACACCAAATATCATTGCAACCTGTAAAGAAATTAAAAATATAGGTATTTTCGCAAATATAATACAAGAAAAATGAAAACATAAAAAAATTAAGGTTTAATACGATCAACTGACCTTTGTTGCTAAATACTGATAATCGGGGGCTTCTTTTAAAAACTTTTCGACGTCAGTTGGCGAAAGTACCTTCGATTTTCTTGCAACATACCCATCAGAGCGTCTCTTTAAAAATGCCGTCAGATTTGAATAGTTTTTTATGTCTATGTTATTCTTGTTCTTTACTGTGGTCTTTAACATAGAATAAATGCACCAGAGCGAGCTGGGCTTAAACCTATTCGCCAGTTCATTAAAATAGGCAAGAAAAACATTTTCTGAAAACGAAGACGCTTTTTTGTTGGTTTTCCATTGTATAAAAGTTTCATATGCAGCCATGTATTTTTCTCTGGATTTCGAAGGTAATAAACTGTCACTTGCGTTTTGTGCCTCTGTGAGGATTTCGGGCGGTGTTAAATCCATCAAAATGTTTTCTTCCGTGCTTGAGCAGGACATTTTAAACACCTAGGTAATTATCTAACACACAGCGTATATAAATGTTTCGAACGTATCAATGGAAATTGGCGCGCAGAGTTATTTTTTCTGCGCCTGGCGCCGCGGCGCGGATATGCGCGCGCAGGCGCTTCGGCAATAATGAGACTTAGGTGAAATTCCTAAACAGCCAATGCGAAATAATATAAATATGTCCTTATTTCACTCAAATTCGTGTAAAATATTATCCAAAATAAGTAATTTTATTCAATTAAAGTTTTATAGGTGTATATTGTGTATGTTTTTCTATATTTATCACATCAAATAAGAAATATAAATTTATTAATAAAAATATTATTTGTAAGGTAAGACTACACAACCGTATTAAACAGAAATAAAAAAAAAACTGTGACCCTGTTTGTTTGGGATTACTGTCATTGTAATTTGAATCTTATAATATGTAGGTTAGAGCTGTTTTTTTAATAGACCAAGTTAATTTCAAAGACATAACCCGGATAATTTAAGAATGCATAGTTTTAATGCATAGGCCTTGTTGTGAGATACATCTTAATCCGGTTAAGCCTATACTTATTACACACACGTTTTGTAATATAATTACAAACGCGTGTTCAATAGCTAGGTTTATGAGCCTAAAAGCGATACAATAAGAAGCCCGTTACGAGCAAATGTGTTGAAAATAATTTTGTTTCTTTCTTGGTGTAGATTTCATCAAAAACAAAAATATATTTTACGATAGCAACCCAACAAAAAGTAAATGTACAAACGTTTGTTTGACAACCTCGGCAACCTAGCAGTTTACATTGTGGGCGCTGGATGCGGAGGTCCCGGGATCGATTCCCGGTGTGACCAATTTGGGAAATGAACTTTTCTAAATTGGTGCTAGGTATTCTGGGAAGTGCCTCAGAGTGAATTCCGTTGCTCTGGTACTCAAACACAGGGAATTCCCAAATTTGAAACCAGGCAATTGGTATAGTTGTCTGGTACATAAAAAAAAATTCCAGTAAACACTAATGCCGTAATAAATGCCCGAAAAGAATTTCGACAGAATCGAACCAGCCTATGACAGCACGAAGCTGATCGTTCGCACTCTAACAAAACGCTATCCAGCTAGCTAAATTATTTTATGTCCCAAATCTAGAATTACTGTTTACGCAAACAATGCTGCAGTAGCTAACAAAAAATCAGAATCTACATTTTTTTGGTATCCCTTGAAGAATATTTCAGTAAATATATTATAAATGTATAATGCATTTTATTAGAACGTAAATGCAAAAGTGTTTTTTTTTATATTTTAATTGAAAAATAGCCGTCTACAGAGTATAACGAATGACCTGCAACTCTGCAGGTTTTGTTCAAATGTTATTCCACAAACTTTTAAAAAAGTTTAAAATTATTATTATAAATGTTATATAATATATTATTATAATATCGTCCTCATAGAATTTAAAGTCATATAATAATTATTCTATTTGAAATCTGTTTACGAATAAATACTAGAATCTAAAATTAAGTGTAAAGTGCTAATCTATGAAGCAAAGTTTAACGTACACAAAAACAAACATAATTAAACAAAATTGAAAGAGATAAGAACGTGACGGTGTGTAAGATTTTAATACAAGGTATGAATGTTGATCATTTGAATGAGTTTGTGCATCTGAGTAGTGTGTTTACAAAAGATCGAAAGTTTGATGAGGACATTGAAAGAAGGGCACGGAAGGGAAACGCAGTGAATGGAGATGCTCATACACAATGCTTTGCTAGTTCCTACACTGACGTTTGGTAGTGAGAGTTGGGTATGGCAGAAGAAGCATGAAAGTAGAATAAATGCAGTGGAGATGAGATCTTTGAGGAAAATTTTTGGAATAAAGCTAAGTGATAGAGTGAAGAATGTGGTTTGAAAGAGGATGTAGTGACTAGAATAAAGAAAGGCATGTTGAGGTGTTTTGATGTAAGAAGAATTTTACCAAACAGATTTATGATGCGAATGTGGATGAAAGGATTTTAAGAGGACGCCCTTGAAGGACTTACATTGATCTGGTCAATGTAAGTCTCAAAAAGCCTAGGATCCGAAGTGACAAGAATAAAAGAGTTGTACGAAAAGTGTAGTTGATGTATGTGAGGCCCGAGAGTTGTGTCAGGATAGAGCAAAATGGTGTTCCGTGGTCTCTGTCTACTCCTCCTGTGGGACTAGGGCGTGAGCTTATGTATGTATGTATGTATGATAATAAAAATAAACTTCCCAATCGATCATCTCAAAAAACAAACTAAAAACCATTTCTGTCAACTTTTCATTTCACTTTATTTAAATTCACAATATAAATCAGCAACAGGGTTCGTCACATAAAAACAACAATGCAATTCGCCAGACTTAGTTATTTTTATTTAATTATAAGAATGAAAAAGGGCCGCTCTGAATCGTACCTGGTTCACCATCAAATTAGAATATTTATGTTACCGAACACGGGGATTAAATCTTTAAGTTTAAGCTGTCTATATTTTAGTGATAGTTTTATTGGAGTTAGTCGAGACGCGTCATACATATCTTTGTAATGGGGAGTGTTTTGAGGTGCTTTTCGAACAGGTGCCGCCGTCTCGTTCCTACCATCGCACCTCCCCCAAAAGAGTAGAGTCCATCCCCTCATCTTAGATGCCTTTTTTTTCTTTTTTTTTACGGGGGGGAAATCTTTATGGATACCCCTGAGCCCAGGGAGACTCAGGGGTTATGTGGGGACTCTCCCTCCAGACTAGAGGGCCTACCCCACTAAAACCCCCCCGGGTTTCCCTCTCGCCGGTTGAATCGGCGCCGTGGGATCAGTGAACATTCACCACGACGCCGCCCGGCCGCCCTAGCTTACGCCAGGGCTCCCGCGCCAACGGAGGGGCGAGTCGGTTGTCCTCCGAAAGACGAGTGAGGCCGTGCAATGCAGGCTCCGGAGTCCCTGTCCAGAGCCCGCTGGTCTCACTAGGGGATCAGGCGAGCAGCGAACTGCCTTCGCCTTCTCCCCGTACGTCTGCGCCGGAGCGGGTGCGCGTCTGCCGCGTCCTCGCGCACCCGCTCCGCATAACCTCTGCGCAAAAGGAGGCCACCGCTTCCCAGGACTCCTCGCTATCGAGCATGGCGGCAACCACGCTCGGCAGCGAGAGGTCCTGCCCTACAGTCCCCGTCAGAGTGCGGCGCTGCTCATCCCACCGGCTGCACACCTCTAGGGTGTGCTGCGCGGTGTCATCCGCAGCGCCGCACTCGTGGCACGACGGGGACGGTTCCCTCCTCGCCACCTTGTGCAGGTAGTGACCGAAGCAGCCGTGCCCGGTCAGCACCTGCACAAGGTGGTACGACAGTGGCCCGTGGAACCGGTTTACCCACTCTACGAGGACAGGGCGGATCGCCTCTATGGTACGAGCGCCATAGGGGGGATCCGCCAAACCCTCTTTCCACCGGTCCTGCATGCGCTGCGCCGCGAGGCGGCGCTCCCGCTCCACCTCTTGGGGAGCTGGTCGCTCGCCTCGGTCCCTCATTCCCCGCCGGTAGGTGCGGACCTCCGCCAGGACCTCGGCTTCGAGGTCCCAGTCATCTTAGATGCCTGGCATTGTAAGACCACGCGGGCATCTCGTTCGTTCCTTCCTCGAGCTTGCAAGATGTGGAATGATCTTCCCCCTGAAGTATTTGCTTTGCGCTATGACAAAGGGTTCTTCAAAACACGTGTTTACAGGGCTCTCAAAGGCTGGAAACGCAAAGGCAGCTCATCTGATGTTGCAAATGTCCATGGGCGACGATGACCACCTATTCTTTAAATAAAAAAAATATAACTCCTGTCATAAAATATACCGTGTGTTATGTGAACACTAGCTAGTTCTTAGTAAGGCTGGTCTGCATCAACGCCTCGACGCCATAGAGTCCAGATATGAGGTTGCATTTCCTGCCCGATAACAATATATCGACAATTAGTATTAAGATAGAATTAAGACAGTAATAACATGTACTAAAATTGTGATTTATGATAAACTTTTCTTATATTGAAAATTATATTATTTTTATCTCCGAAAGAGCTTAACTCGTGTCTCACCAAAAGGGTCTGGAAAACAGCTAAAACTGAGTCTCTTTACGATTTAATCTATATAATACAGGTAAGTAAAAACAATGTTATTTAAGGCTAAACTATTATTATTATCATTAATGCATAAAATAACTAAATCTAATAGTATTAACGTGCTAATTCACTCCTCGTGTGATTAGAACGTGTCTGTTGCGAGGTACCGAAAGTATTGGTAATAAAGAAACCGGTTGTATTTTACCTGAGAGCCCGCTCGGCGTCAAGCCGGTCGGTCTATTGTTTTCGCGAGTGTTGAATACAATGGGATTTATCTCTAATGGCTAATGAGTTAGACTGCAGTGATAGTAGACTTTACGTGAATAGTAATAACGATTTGTCGTCTGCGGTAGAAACGATGCTAGAAGAACTTGATAATTTAGAGGACAATACACAAATTGATATAGGAGACATGGACTTACAAAATACACAAGTAGGTAAAAGACGAAGAGAACATAATGAAGAAGAAGAGTGGACCACGGTAACCAGAAATGCAAAAAAAAAGAACAGAGATACACAAAACCCCTCCATTATCCTACCCATACAGGTTTCGGTCGTAACAAAGGACAAATTACCTAAACAATTTGCTCTTGCGAAACTTCTTAAAGTCAATGATATTACCGATATATATAAAGTGAAATACGCAAACCCATATAAGTTGTTAATCACATTTGAAACTGAAAGTAGCGCAGAGAAATTCATGATCTGCCAAACATTCACCGAGTTGGGTTGGAGGAGACAAAAGACTTGGGAGGTCGCCCTGTCATACGGAGTTATACGTGACATCGATCCCGATTTGTCGGAAGAAGATCTCTTAAAAGACATATCTTGCGATGTTGAGGTTATAACCGCTAAACGGCTAAATCGTAGGACTGAAGAGGGGTGGATTTCCAGTGAAACGGTCCGCATTGGATTTAGCGGACCTTCTGTACCACCGTATGTATATTTATTTGACTTAAGGGTTCGAGTCGAAACGTACAGGTTTCCGGTTACGCAATGTTCCAGATGTTGGAGATTTGGTCATGTGATCAAAATGTGTCCATCAAATAAAATAATATGCCCAAAATGTGGTCAACATCACGCGAATTGTGAAACTACGTCTTTCAAGTGCGTAAATTGTTCAGGGAAGCACATGGCTTTATCTAAACAATGCCCAATATTTAAAAAAGAAAGACATATTAGAGAGCTAATGGCTGTTCACAATTGCTCTTATCTAAAAGCTGTATCCATGTACGTACCCTCGGGCCCATTGCTTCAATCGAACAAAAGGAGAATCGAAACTCAAAGTCCTGCCAAGAACTCCACTCAGGATGAACCTGAATCAACTTTAATAGCCACAGCATCCTATGCAGAAGTAGTAAAGACAAAGTTCTTGAATAGTGAAATACCTCGAAATACGTCGAACCTGCAGAACAAACGAAAAAAAAAGAATGTTCCCTTATATTTAACACCTAATGTTATAGCGCAAATAGATATGACAACCAGTGATGGTTCCTCTTCCGCATTTGAGGAGGAACCGGTAATCAGACAAGAAAAATAACGCGCTCTTAATGAAGAAAGGAAAAAGAACAAAGAATCCGTTAGCTCATTACTGGAAAGACTGAAAGAAATAATATCAAAGAAGAAAGATGAATTAATTATGCAGCTCAAAAACATTGTTAAATCAGTTGTAGACTGGGTGGTTTCTTTTGTGACGAACTCGATGCCTAATATTACGACAATCAAAAATTTATTTAGTGCAGTGAATGGATAGGTCTGTTAGGAAAAAAATTAGGTTAAATATTGTACAGTGGAATGCTCGCAGTCTGAGACCTAAGCTAAAATCATTCGAGCAGTTATTGATCCAGGAAATGGTACACATTGCAGCGGTAAGTGAAACCTGGCTCGAACCAGATACCTTTTTAAAAGTAAGGGACTATAACATCTTTAGGCTAGACAGAGAAGTTTCTTATGGAGGCGTTGCTATTTTAACCCATAAATCAGTTCAGGCCCAGCGCGTTCCGATTCGGATTCCCAATAGAGGTTTAGAGGTTGTTCACATTAGGATATTTAACTGTGAACACATAGAAAATGTTTTTATAGTATATTGTTCGCCTGGTACGATAACTAGTGATAGTGATTGGCTATGGCTATTTTCAAATGAACAGAGCAAGTCTATCATAGTCGGAGACTTTAACGCACATCACACGAGCTGGTCGTATAAAACAGATATTAAAGGGACTCAGATTTTTGACGCATTATTATTGAGCAGCTACGTTACGTTAAACGATGGTACACCCACACGCTTTCAATTCGTTGATGGTAACTTACGAGAGTCATCACCAGACATTACCATGGTCACGTCAGATATAGCGGTGAGACTTAATTGGATAGTTACCAATGAATCACTGGGTAGCGATCATCTCGTTATAAAAATTTCAACAACTTTTACTTGTAATTTACATTTTAGTAAAAGACGTAATTTCAAATATGCTGATTGGAAATCGTACCAGTCATATTTGAAAGAGCTATTTACAGATTTAAGTTTCCCTGAAAATCCTCAAGGGGCTTATAATAAATTTATAGAGCAGTTATACAAGGCTGCAGACAGACACATACCTTGTATTAAAATTTGCCTTAATCCGGATTCTAAATTTCGCCCTAGACCTTACTGGAACCCCGCACTGTCTAAAACAATTGCGCTTCGTAGATTGGCTTTAGCCAATTTGAGGCGAAATCCCACTCCTCAAAATTGGGATATACTCAAGGAGAGGATTCACGACTCCGCAAAACTCTTGAAAAAAACCCAAAGCAAAGCATGGCACACATTCTGTGATTCGATTGATACTATAACGTCCTCGAGTGACATGTGGCGTAGAATGAAGTGGCTTAAGGGATATAGGACACACAGGCCGCTTGTGGACGAAAGTACATCAAATAAATTGCTACGAAATCTTGCCCCTGACTATGCATCCCCTCACAAACCTAATTTTTATTCGGATAACCCATTATTGGAATACCCAATTACAGTACAAGAGCTAGAGAAAAGCATTAAATCCAAAGATACATCCCCTGGCTGTGACGAAATCTCCTTTTCTATGATCAAAAATCTTCCTGAAATAGCCAAGACGATTTTAGTAAATATGTATAATAAGTTCCTTTTATTAGGTTTTGTACCGACACAATGGCGCGATATCAATTTAATTCTCATACCAAAACCCGGAAGAGATGGCCATGACTTATCAGCTCTTCGACCAATTTCACTTATATCATGTCTCTGTAAGATTTTTCACTCTATTATTCAAAAAAGGTTAGAATGGTACTTAGAAAAAAGAGGTGTATTCTCTGATGATACTTTGGGATTTAGGAAATCTAGGTCATGCTTAGATAATTTGAGTCGTCTGGTAACTAGAATCCAAACAGGTTTTTGTAATAACAGGGTTACTGTAGGTTGTTTTATTGACATCGATAGCGCTTATAATAACGTTGATGTGAGTGGTATGCTGTCTATCCTGGATCGGTTGGGTGTTGGCTCTAGGATGTGTACGTACCTTTGGGAATTTCTTAAAGAAAGACATTTAAGGACACAAGCGGGTAGAGTTGAAGTTGTACGTAACACGGGTCGGGGTTTAGCTCAGGGAGATCCTATATCCCCCTTACTCTTTAATGTGGCGACAATAGACATAGTCCAAGAAATAGGTGACAACCATGTATATATTTCTCAGTATGCAGATGATTTTGTTATTTATTCTACCGAAGAGAATATTGCGGCCGCGGTGAATCATATACAGAGACCCCTAAATAATCTTGCAAGTTTATTATCCCGTCTAGGACTACAGCTGTCAACGTCAAAAAGTCAAGTTTGTGTTTTTAAGAAGGGAACATTTCAACAAGATTTTAGTGTTCGAATCAATGGCGCGCCTTTAGAAGTAGTTCAAAATGTCAAATATTTGGGTCTGTGGTTAGATCGATCACTTCGATGGTCTAAACACATAAACGAGACTCTGGAAAAAGTATCTAAGTTCCTAAATATTTTAAAGGTTTTAGCTGGTCCGAGTTGGGGGGTTCATCCAAGACATTTGAGAAGGCTATATATCTCAATTGTGAGAAGCCGCATGGATTATGGCTTCTTGTTTGGTGATAGTTGCCAGTCCCATCTTTACAAACTTGATAAAGTACAAAATCAGGCTATGCGTATTATAGGCGGATATATAAAAAGTACCCCTATCCATGTGATGGAAGCAGACCTGTGCTTACAACCACTACATATACGTAGATGTTATTTAGCGGGCAAATTTTGGATGAAATGTAAATCAATCAAAAGTAGCAGTATTCTCATCGATTTAGTAGAAGAGTTATCAATTAACATCAATTCATGGAATAGGAAAAATAAACCGATTCTATCCACTGTTCACGAACGATTTAAAGATACAGCAGTTTACTGTTCTCAAAATTTAGAAATGTTCACGAGATCTATGTGGGTTAGTTATATTGATTTATCCGCAAGCATTATTATCAATATAGATACGTTAGAAAAAGCAAAAAGGCAATACGAAGCATTTAAGGAATATATGTTGTAGGAACTTAAATGAACATTATTCGGCATTTTATCAAATATATACCGATGGATCCAAGGACAAAGATGGGATTGGCGCAGCCTTTTATGATCCTGATGCCAAGACGAATGTGCTATTTCGAATAGACACTAACGTATCCATAATGTATGCTGAGCTTGTAGCGATCTCCGAGGCCTTATCTTATATAGACTCTGTAGATTATGACAGATTCGTAATTTTGACTGACTCTAAAAGCTCACTTCAACACATAGCTCGGTCAACTTCGACCATTCGAGGCACCCCGATAGCTTATACAATCATAGACCAGATCTTAGAATTACAACGTAACTCTAAAACAGTTAGACTTCAGTGGATACCCTCACACGTTGGCATTATTGGTAACGAGAAGGTAGATTCACTTGCTAAGCGAGCTTATTGTACTGGCGATACGATATCTGTTTTGCCCTATTATACAGATTGTTTGTATAAAATTAAAACTTATTGCCACCAGCTGTGGAAAGAATACTTTGATGAGAGATCCAAAGAAAAAGGTATCTGGTTCAAAACAATTCAACCTGAGCCACTGGAAGTTCCATGGATTGATAACTGTCTGATGAATAGACTTGGCGTTGTGACGGCTCTGAGGTTGCGCTCTGGGCACATTCCTTCAAAGAAGTTTACCTTTTTGATGGGCATTACACCAACTCCTTATTGTAGCAATTGCGGCGTCGTTGAAGACATTTACCACGTTTTGATGGAATATGTTCGGACCGAGAGACTCAGGAGACAGTTGGGCAGTATAGTTAACATACGGCAGACTGGGTGGTGTAACAGTATACTGGCCGTTCCGTCGTCGAATGAAGCCAAAATACTGTACAAAATATATTTAGATAGTCTTAATCTAGGTTAGATGTATAAATTAAGTAGCATTACGGAGCGACATTACTATTAAAATACACAGTAAAGCTCCTTAAATTCAGATTAAAAAAAAAAAAATAGTAATAACAATCATATAATTGTAACTTTCGACGAAACCCTACTTAATGCATTATCATTTCACTTTCAAACAAACGCCTCATTGCTGAATACAAAACGATTTGTATAGAAAACAAAATGCGCCTAGTGCAGTGAATTCCATGCAATTACATGCCTAAATGCTTACAATGCAACCATAGGCACTCAGCTAGTGTAATAACCTTGTGTCAGCTAGTGTGGCCTTTGGTTGACTTAGCTAGCATAATCACCACCTAAATTCCTTATAGAAACTTAGCACTCCCCAACTGAATCAAAAGCATTCCACGTAATTATTCAACTTCCTATTTCATTTATTAGAAATGAGCCCACTCATTTATATATCATTAATATTCAAAATAGTCATTGGATTGCTTTCCATTTTAACGAATTTTTGTATAATATAACATTGCACACCAAAATCAACCTTCAAATGAACCTTCTGAAATGGAACACTTATCGCCATCTACCGCTCTCAAAGCACATGTTTTTAAATACCACTACCAAAGAGGAATAAGTTAGTAACACTCCGAAATAGCAGATGGCGCTTTATATATAAATATCGTAAACAGGAAAAATACAAGGTGAATTATCTTTCTATTTTTATTTCCAAAGCGTGCACATTTGCGCTGGCAATATTTTACGATAGAATATTTTTTGACATTGGTTTCCACACAAACGATACGAGTTCATAGGTTTTCGCGATAGCAGCTATCGTGTTTCGGGCTCTTTACAGGTATTATCAAGGTCGACTGTCTGCCGCTAATTTGTTAAAAAAAAAAAAATTTCATTTGCAATGTTTAATAGTGTTATTTTAAAAAATATTTCATTTTAAAGTCTTCTTCTAAAATCCTATGTGTTACAAAATCTTCAAAAGCATTTAAAAATAAAACCCACACAACAAAAACAAAACGATACGTTGAAGGAAATCAAAGTGAATAGGTAAATCAAAGAATGAGCAAGTAGGGGAGCAGAATTTATTTTGATTAGGTTA